TTTCATCAGCTCAGCACTAAAAGTGCACCCCAGAGGCATCACATTTGGAAGCTCAGCCTCTTGGCTGAGACATAAAACAGAAGTGTTGCTTCCCTGTGGTCAGAAATGGTCCTCAGGTGTGTGTGCATGCCTGAATTACAGCATCAAAATCCACGTCCTGCGCAGTTTCTCTTGACTGTACACATACAAGTCATTGCAAGTTTGCAGCTAAAGTACTGCGCTCACCATACACACACTGTGATCTCCACGTTCCTCTCTTCCTCAGTGTGGGCTTCCTTTTATCCTCCGTTACTTCTTTGCAGGCATTACCCATTTCCTCCCCAGTCAGATCATGGCATGTAAATGCATTTTACATGTTTTGCAGTCACCGCACCTCTTCAGTGAAAAGCAGGAGCCGCTCCACTGTGCTGCTACACTTTTACCTCCAAACAAGAAATGTTCCCAGCCAAGCAAAACACCCCGTTTTGCTCAGCCCATTGTTACTTTTGCAGTTCTGAACCACCCTTTTGCACATCCCCTAGCATACACTTTGTCTCTCACAACAAGGCACTGACTGCAGTGGAAAGGAAAAGCACCCCCCCCTCACCCACTTCACCAGTTGTCTTCCATTCTAGTGCACACAGCACCCTGGCACACAAGTGTGCATGAAGAATAAGCTTGTTTTCCTTTAACAGTTGTTTATATCCAGACACTGAGGCAGAACTTTGCATGTGCTGTTCTTCATGTCTGTCAAACACACTGTGCAGTGAAGTGTCTCACCTCAGATACATCTCCCACCCACCACAGCAGAAGCGATATAGAAACACTAATAGGACATATCTTAAGACAACAGCCCCATTCACATCAGCAAAAGCTGTTAGCAAAGCAAGAGCATGTCAGTAATCAATCCAGGGTCCACCTGGTACATACAGAGTCGTAAGCTGTGTGAAAAGAGCTGCTTTAAGACTACGTCATTTAAGATGCAAACTCAAATGTAGGAAAAGCCAGATTTGTAGCTGAGGGTGCAGACACCTCTCAGGTCTGCAGCGTGGATGGAGAACAGCAGTGCCTTGGTGGGTGGGAAGCAGATTGCACCCATACATATTGTATGTGGCAGTGCCCCGGCAGAAGGAGCTGAATTAATATGTCATGCACACGGCTGTGAATTACAGAACTATCTATAAGGCTGCTGGTCAACAGGATTACTCTGATCTATTCCTGTCTCCGGCAGCAGAGTCTTGATGGGTACGGCTGTGATTACAAGTAGGATAAGCAACAGCCCACGGCTGGAAGGGTTCCTTCCGAAAGTCTCTGTGGCTGCCTTGGGAGGATTTGGAGCTGTTCTGCAAGCCTGGAAGACTCCCCCTTCTTGCTAAAGTAAGAGGAAGGATATTCACATGTCTTAACAGGAATGGAGATGCAGTCAGGGAAGTCAGGATGTTTTAACTCGGTCTTGCCTTTCCTAGGCTGTAGGGGGCTACATAGGAAACCAGATGAGGAACCAAGTAGCAACGCTGATTTAAACCAGATGCTCGTGCAAGGTATAGCAGTGTCATCACTCCTCTTAAAGTTCCTCACTCAGTATTGGAAAAAAGCAGCTACTACTGCATACCACTGAAAAACGTGAGGTCCTGCAAACCAGGCTTTGTTTTCTGGTTGCAGACATAAACCTCAGAGCTGAAGATTCAGGATCACATTCCCTGATACCTGCACTTACCCCTGGTTCCTCCTGGGATTGCTCAGGTGCTATCACCCAGGCAGCAGCTGCAGGGCGAGAAGCAAAGAGCTCCCTGGCTACCTCTTCTGTCTCCTCACACTGGGATCTGCAGGAGCAGCAGTGCAGCAAGTTGTAAACACACAGTTCCTAAAACAAGCCTTAGCTGTGGCTCTTCTTGCTGATAGAAAACAAGCCTGATTAACAAGGGTCGGTGTGGTTTTCTACCACAGGAGCCTGTGGTGTAGAACCATGCTTCAGGTTGCACCTGCGGTTTGTCGCTGCTCACAGCCTGCTCGTGCTGATAAATGAGAAGGTTACCACCAGTTTCACCCAGTAAGTGATACGTAGCAAAAGAGCCAAATGCCAATCGATCCCTTCTTAGAAATCCCAGCTGCCCTCCGCAGCTGCAAAGGGCAAGGGGTGGTGGAATTCACCAGGCACCTCAGGAGGCTTTGGCAGAGAAGTGGTTTCTGTTATGCACAGAGAGAAGAGCAGAGGGAAGTTTGGGGATGGGAACAGCTCTGGGAATGCTTCCCTTGCCACAGCCCGACACCAGATGGGACTGTGAAAACTACTGTGAAGGCCTGCAGCACCAGCTGGTGGCACAGGGTGCACAGAGGTGTTCCCTTTCCTCAAACAAAACACCCATGGCTTTGTCTTGGGACCCCAGCTCTTCTTCGTCCCATCCCTGACTGCTGCAGGCAGCAGATTTATGCCTCACTGCCTGGGAAAAGCACAGCAACATGGATGCAGTGATGTCTCTAATGGAACAGCTGCACAACCACTTTCCTCAGCTTCTGGAGGGGCCTGGTCTTAACATCACTGGGGTAGCCATCATCCTCCTCCCAGTACAAACCTGGAGCATGTCCTTCACCCTGCTCTTTCCATTGTATTTGGGGTTTTCTTTGCCAGCCCCATAAGGGACCCTATCTCATCAGCTCTCCTCTCACTCTTCCGCTGTCCCAGGGGCCCTGCACAGGCTCCAGAAGCAGACAAGGATGGCAGAGGCCATGGTTGCATCAGGTACCTACAGTCTGGCTGTAAGAGGGTGGGCAGGAGAGACTCAGAAGTTCTTCCAAGGCTTCCCAGCCAGCCTGAGCCATGCAGTGCCCTACTCCCTGCCAAAATGGAAGTGCTTCCAGGCTGACCTCATAGCAGCCTTCCAGTATCCGTAGGGGGCCTACAAGGACACCAGAGAGGGACTCTTCATCAGGGACTGTAGCAGTAGGACAAGGGGTAATGGGTTTAAACTAAAACAGGGGAAGTTTAGACTGGATATAAGGAGGATGTTCTTTTCTGTGAGGGTGGTGAGGCACTGAAATAGGTTGCCTAGGGAAGCTGTGAACGCTCCATCCCTGGAAGCATTCAAGACCAGGTTGGACAGAGCCTTGGGTGACATGGTTTAGTGTGAGGTGTCCCTGCCCATGGCAGGGGGGTTGGAACTAGATGATCTTAAGGTCCTTTCCAACCCTAACTATTCTATGATTTAATGACATTTCCATTTTCCTGTTTTTTTTTTCCTCTCTGTGGCTATGAAAAAGGTACACAAGAAGATTTCAACTGGAGGAGCTTGTGCCACGCTCAAACTGAACGCACCATGGGACAGACAGAATGGCTGTACTTGGACAAATCCCACAGCAGTAACATGCCATAAGCAATTCTGCAAATACCCCATTTCCTGCAGCCAGTGAGTGGACCTTTTGTGCTTTAAAAGTCTAACATTTCAAGTTAAGATCACTCCTGTGCTTGTTGATGGTTAGGCCTATTGCAACATTATTTCAGACAACACAGAGGATATTGGAACTTGTCACCTTCTCCCTGGTATTTTGTTTTCCTCCTCAGTCTGAAATGTGAATTGTTTAAGCCCAGAGGATTTCACAGGGCTCTTTTCGTTATGACAAAATGACAATAGATGAAAGGCAAGGTTCCTTCAGCTTGGCATTGCTTTTTGTTTCTGAAGTATTGCTTCTGAAGATCTTCCCCACAGTAGCAATTCCCCAGTCCAACATTCTCTAGCTCTTGCTCAGAGCCTGAGATCATAAAAAAAGTCTCAGAAACAAACCAGGCCCCCCAGGTTCATGTGCCTGGAGAGGTTTTTCAAGAGGAATTTTCTAATATCTTTTTCTTTCCCTTACACTTCTCAGCCTTGCTCATGACCTGTATGAGAAGGAAGCCAGAGCTTCTTAAATTAAAGAGAAAATCTCCAAGGAAATAAGTTTTTTTTATATATAATATTATTTATGTATATATTTTAAAGGTGAATACTGTGCATTTATACATATGTATGAGTGTGTGTGCATATAGGCATAAAAGATGAGCAGTATGAGTAGAGTCTCACTATTTTCAGCTGTTCTGTCTAGCTGAATAAATACCAGAGGTCACCTGGTAGGATGGCAGTAAAGGCTTGTAATCATTGCTGCCTTCTGCAGGTTTTACAGGCTTACCTGCAGAAGCCTTCCAGCTTTGGAGAAAATCACACACACCCCACCTCTTTTCCACAAAGCCTTGTAAATTCAACAATGTTCTTCATCATGGGATGTTTTCAATGTAATTAGGGAGGGGGGAACAACTGCAGTTTGATTTTCTGCAAACAACCCTAATTTAAAATGAACTAAAGGGTCTGTGTGAAACCAATCAAGTAAAGAAAAAAAAAGTGAGGTGGATAACAGATGGTCCCACATTTACAGGAAGCTCTGAAATGAGCTCAACCAGACTAAGCTATTAGAGGCTTCCAAACAAATAGGCCAAAATAGCTGCTGCTAAATACTGTAGTCACTGTCAAATATCCAAGTCTGCCAGTAAATTAGGCAATAATCTACTGAAAACAAGACTGAAAAGTACAATCTCCTTATTCTGCATACTGACCATGAGTGCCTTTATGGAAAGCATGCATTGCTGTTCACTTAAACACCAATAGTGCTCGTCCTGTCAGCCCAGTATAGGTGTGAAACCAAGAAATGCTTGGTTTATCCTTCTTATTAGGAGGTCGAAAAATCTGGTTAATTTTACTTGGATTCCTGTATTCACACTTCATCTGAAGATTAAGGCTCTTGTCCAGCAAAGTAACAAGCGCACACTTAGCTTCAAACAGACCTTGCTTTGTAGTTTCAGTGACTTCAAATCAATAGGAAGAGACACATGCTGACAACATGTGCTGGAGCATGTCTGGGCACACCCTGCCAAATTCTGGGTGTTCTGACATCCTTGGGGGAGCCTTGGGCTGCATGGGCAGCAGCAGGATTCTACTATGACTGGCTGTGCCAAAGGATGAATTTTGGGATTTTGAACGAAGTTTGTAGTCACTATTTTTCCCTTCTACAGCAAATGCAGGATGGTTAGTGCAACGTGCCAAATCTTGAATTCTCATTGCATTTTTTACTAGTTTCCTAAGGATATGAGGTTACTGTGATCATGCTCACCACACTCAGTACATCACTGTTTCAGCTCCTTCCCCCAAATATACCAGTGGCAGGATTTGAATTTAAAGTTGACAAGTTGGAGAAACAGACTGAAAAAGAAACGAGGATGAAATTTTGTCAAGACAAGTGCAAAGCACAACCTTTGGCAGGAACAATCAATATCATGAGTACAAACTGGGACTGTATATATAGGAAGTGTTGGAGAAGAGGGTCTGGGAATTACAGTGCACCATAAACTGAACACAAGCCTGTGGCAGACTGCTGTGCAACAGGTGAGCACTACACAGGACTGTATGAACAGAATACTAGTGAATAAGAACTATAAGTAATCCTGCAAGTACTCCTTATATTTTACTGAACACTTGTAAGGCCCCTTTAGGAGGTATATGCTTAGACTGAATGCTGTCCCTACAAAATGAAAGTGATCTGGAATAAACTCATGTCAGAGAAGCTGTGGAAACTCTAGTGTCAGAAGCTTGTAGGTACAGATTAACTAAATAATAAACTGGCAATGTTTACTCCTGTGCTCAGGCAGATATCATCCTGGAGTTTGTGTCACCTCTCTGGTGACCAACAATAATACACATGTTAATGGGACAGCGAGGCTTCATGTGCTCAGGCTAGGCATGGAAGCCCTTGCTTTGATCCGGTGGTCAGAGCACAATATCTTTGTATCTGTGTTTGAACTTCAGAAGATAGCATTATCCAGGTAACTAACATCGTTGTTCTTGTGTTAAGGGGGTCAGAGAACCGCTAAGTGTGAGAGAAAAATCCCAAAATGGGAAAAAGCCGTCACCAAAAATCTTCTCTTATAGAAACCTGGAAGCAGCATCAGGGAAGAATCTTATGGAAAAAGAAAGCAATGCTTTGAATCACTTGGGCATGCTTTTTTTCCTCATTGAAAGCCTTAAGACAGTAAAAGCATGCTGTGGCAAGCCCCTGTCAATTCTCCTTTCTCCATTTCACAGTTCGTGATTTGTAGGCAATAAGGAGGATCACAGTGTTGCTCCTCTGTGCCGGCATCGGTGGCAGGGTTCTTTCTTGTGTTCCCCTGTGACAGGTTTCATTACTCCTCTGAAAAACACTGTACAGGTAAAATGTGAAGGTGCAACAGCACAGATTAGCTAAGGAGATTATGCCTGTGCTTTCCCAAATGGAGAAGGGACAACAGGAGATCATGGACATTCCTGCCTGACCACACGTTGCTAAAAAGGGACTTCCACAAACCCAGGAAAATAGTTTACAACTTGCCACCTGAGTCCCTCACAGACACGCTTGGTTTTACCCTTCTAATCTTGGTAGCAGGAAGGAAAATCTGATTGCAGTTAATTTTACTTGACAAACGGAGAGTGGAGACACAGAGACAGCAGGGCATGCTGAAGGCAGCAGTGCAGCTGGGCAGCAGAGGTGGGGTAAGAATTCAGTCTGACCTGACTGGGACTCCCCTGGGGGGCATTGCTTCAGGTGCAGGTACACCACCCCTTGCAGCTGTGATTAAACCCATCATAAATAGCCTTAAGGAACAAAGCAGGCTCTTTCATTTGTTGCTCAACTGCGTAATTTCCACTTCTGCAAATGAGTCAGATTATGGATTCCATACTGTGTTACAGTGCTGCCAACGTTTACCCCATCCCATGCTGCTGCACACAGAGCAGCACCCTGGCTATCTCTCACTGAAAAGGAGATATTTTGGTAGCAAAAATGAGACTTGGCAAGGAGTATTGCTATTGTGCACATCAGGCTAGAGTGGGGGTAAGGAGAAAAGCAGATAGAAGGGAAAGTATAATACTGCACAGTATGAGTAGTACTCTGAGATCTCATCTTCTATATATACAGTAGTTAAATAACTTCTAAGTGCTAGTAAGAGAAGAAATATTCTTTCATATATATATATATATGCATAGAGTGAATGAAAAACAACATATGACCATGTTGCAAAGTAAATTGCAGTAAACACAGATTTTTTTCAGAGGAAGCAGTGATTGGTTTTATACCTACGCTTTTATTAAAAACACTATGGAGGGACTATATAACTGCTTATCATGCTGAAAATAAACGAAGAGTTAAGTCAATGGATATAGTTTGAAGCTGCTCTATGTATTGCTTTATATGTTTTTCACTGGTCATGGTGGGAAGGTAAACTTGACCTAGAAGAATTGACTCTTACCTGTAAGTAGCACAAAGGCTAATGCAGAGCTTTTTGCTCTTTCTAAGCTGTAATAGCCAACATGATTTTTTTTTTCCTAAATTGCTGTTTTAATGGTTTAGCTATTTCAAAATATGTTCAATTATTTTGCTACCTTGTTCGGAAGCTCGTTATTTCCCAGCTGGAAATACAGCAGACTGTGGGCTGGCAGATGGACAGAGAGGCAGAACTGCCATCCCTCAACAGGCAGCACCCACACTTGCTGGGGAATTGGTTTCCTCAAAGCACAGCCCCAGTGTAGGTTAGCTGGCAGCAGTTCAGTTTTGAAGAAATCTCATGATACCCAGTGTTAAAAGAAACATAGTCAAGCGCTCTAAGATGTGACAATACATCTCGCCCACCTTTGGAGCAGAAAAAAAACCCTGCAATACATGGTAGATTATCAAAAAGTCCTGTCACAAATGAAGACATTTGCCCTCCTCACACTTCATTTTCTTATGTTTTAAGCTATGCACATTCAGAATAAATGGTAAACCCCACACAGTTAACTTTCATTTTGGCACGATAGCTGCATCAAATGCTTGGCACAATGGAGGTACAAGTTACTCCAGTGAAGCCTGGGGGAGGGAGGGAAAGGGAGATGTCTGAGATAGTGTCTGGACTAAGAAAAGTAGTAGAGTGGACTTCTAAGTAATTAAACATGCGGATTCCCAAGAGCTATTTTACTTGGTGCTGTCTACAACAACAGCAACAAATAGGGCTTATTCTGATCTTCCTCTTCAGAAACTGTTTGACTACACAACTGGGAAAGTGAGTTTCCTGTGCATATGTGCTCTGTATTCCAAAATACACAAGAAAACACTTGCAGTGCATGTGGGACTTGACTGTGCAGTTTTCACACAGGCAGCCAAACGAGGGAGCAGACTGGAGGACCACAGGGCTGGGTCATGAACACTGCTGCTGAACAAGTGCTTTGGGTTTGGCTGCCATTCAGAGCCCTGAAGGGTACCATCCCCTTGCCCCCTCCAAGCAAGCCCTCATTCAGCAGGTGTCAAACTGTGATGACAATCCAGAGAATGGCAGTTGCACTTTTAAAAATGGACAAATAAAACACTGGACCACATGCGGCAAAATCCCCCTTCCACTACCACTGACCTGTCAGCATAAAAGCATGCAGAGTGCTATGCCTTCACCAATATTAGCCACTATGAACAGAGTTCATGGCTTCTCCAAGACATTTATCCTGCAGTAAAGTTGGTACTACTAAATAATACTATACTATAGTAATAATTTATAGTAAATAATTACTATAAATATAGTAAATAATTACTATAGTAATTATTTATTAATGACAGTTTTTAGGCTACTAGTCAGATCAGTGCTTTAGGGGCTTCTGTCTGTCCAGTCAGAAGGCAGGAACTACAGGCACTTCGGGCGAGTTGTTCATTTCTCTGTCGCAGAGCAATTGCTGGCTGTAAATAACCATTTCCATATTAAAGGAAAAGCAAAATATATCCTGGAGACCTTCTGGGATTTACAGAGGCTCATCACAACAGGATTCACTTGGCAGTCACTGTGGGTTATTGGAGCTGCCCTACACTGCCTCAATTTTACAAGAAAATAAAGCATATTAGATACATTTAATAAATGAGCGCTGGGTCCTCCCAGGCAATTTTCAGTTCTGCTCTAGGAAGGCCACAGTCCTGTAGCTGACTGCATTGGCATTTCATGCAGATTAAGGAATGCCATATACTGTAAATTACAGGACTAGAGTCTTAGACTTTAAATCCTTCAGGACAGGAGGGCACTTCTAGCAGGAATTATATACAATGAGTAGTGAAAGCCATATGTATGGCATAATAATGGCCTACTATGTCTATTCATTATTACTGATGATAATATTATAGTTTAGTAACAATTTGCTTTATGCCAAAATTTCCCAGAAAGCATCTGGCTTGTTGAAGGCACAAAAAAGTTTTCCTTTGCTATCCTAATCTGTGGCACAGCTATAGAACACTAAAACCCTGTAAAAAAGAGGCAGAACAGGGGCACTCTTCATCGTCTTACTAAAAGGCACTTTCTTAGGGGGAGGTTAATTATTTAGAAAGCAATTTAATTACCTCATTCACCCACTTCACTTGGTCTTCTGCAGCTGGCTGCTCCAGGCTGCTGTGTCTGCTCCCAAACTGCCAGCTCCATGTAGCCTTGGTGTTCCCAACTGCTAGAGCTGTGACTGTCACCCACTCAACCCAGGCACCAGCCCTGCCACTGTCCTGCAAAGCTGCTACATGGTCCCCAGCATGGCGCCCAGCTGTACAGCTCCCCAGGCACTGCATGGGTGTGAGTGGGGACTGTCCTGTCTGCACCTAGGCATGCTTTTCAGCTCTCTCTCCTCCCCCAGGCACAGCAGAGGGAAGGCTCGCATCAGCACTACATTCCCTTGAACAACCATTTAAGCAAGCTCCTCTCAGCAGGATTGGAGGAATGGCAGTAGGTATGGCTGTCTGTGTCGCGCCTGAACGGGCACACAAGTGCTGTAATGTCACGCAAGGTGGCTCTACGGTCCTTAACAAGAATGGGTGGAAATTTTCCCTTTTAGCACTAGCTGATGCAGTCTTGCAGTATTAAAAAGAGGAGAATAATACCCAGCCATTTTGGGATTGCTCTTGTCCTGGCTAAAATAAAACTCCTCAAGAAAACATGTTTGCCTGTAGCAGGAACCTACTTTCAGCCTGAGCCTGGGCTGCCCTTGGGGCAATGCCAGGACACCACATCATACAGCTGACAGTCAACAAAATGGACAGATGAGGCAAGAGGGCAGTGATAGCCCCAAGCATGTTTCTGGGGCATGGACCCTCTTCATAGAGGTGCAGCTCTACATCTCACCTGCTCACCTCCCTCTCATCTGATCCTTTCAGCAACTGCTCTCAATTTTAAACAGTAAAAAGGAAATAATCAGTTTTAGTGTTTTTTTTAACCTTCCCAGACTCTTTCATAAATATTCCGTCAGCAGTCTGAGCAAATTTCTGTATTGTCTTGTGACTTTGCTTAGTGATTCTTCTGCATTTTAGAGCAACTGCATATCTGTGGAAGAGCACTGGTGGCTCTGTGAGCATTTGTGTTCAAATCCAACACAGAGTAAAATGATGGATTAGCCGAAGGACTGCCTTTCAAAGAGAAACCTGTGGTTTGAAACAGATAAGTATTGAGACCCGCCCCCTAGGAGCAGTTAATACCCAGGCTGGACATAAACACATTTTCTAATCCAATGCACTGTATTTTACTCCTAAGCATGTTGTAAAAATTATAGAAAAGAAAAAAAAAAGCTTTAAACAGCCATTATAGACTGTTAAGCATACTTTAGCAAGACAGTATTATGCCTAAAAGACAACCAGAGTCCTATGAAAGAACCAGGGGAAAAATAAACAGCACCAGAAAGAAAACTCACTGCTGTGGAAATTAGTCATTAGCAATATGGCATTACTGCAGCAGTTCAGCCAAACAGTCCAATCTGACTGTCAGTCTGCTGCTTGTGACCATTTTCAGGATGCTGCTGGTTGTAATAACTCACAATTTCTTTTCTGAACACTGTAGGTTGAATCCTGACCACTCTTAATATTTGTTACCAGCAAAAAAAAAAATCATTCTTTAATAGTAAAAATAAACTGCTACTCATGAGGTTTCTTTAAGATGGACCTATACATTATTTAGTTACATTTTCAATAGTATCCTAAATTAAGGCTAAATGCTGTTTTTAAAAGTGTGTTGACTGCATATGATAACGTTTGTTCAAGCTTGGTAAAAAAAAAAAGTGGGCTTGATTAATAAGTACTTGCTGAAATACTCAATCAGAAACTTCAGGTCAATTGTTCAAATACATCAAAGACCAGGAGAAACAGAGATTCACTGATTAGCTTATTAGAAGCATTCAAACCTTATCTGCTTCTGCACTACAAAAACTTTGCTTTGGTAGATTGAAGAATTTCTTGGCTCCTAATCCAGATGTCATTTTCTCAAGGAGCTTTCAGGAAAGGAGGGCTTGCAGCTAGTGAAAAGGTCTCATCTGTATTTCTTAACAGAACACAAATATATTGTGTGACCTGGGGGAACTCATTAAGCTGTTGGTCACTTCACTTCCCTCAAAGAAACTGAATACTTCTTTTATTTACTGTGGGGATTATTTCAGCAATACCTGTAAACAAAAGAAATCTTCAGTGGAAGGTAAGACCCAAGTACTGTTTCTTTCCTCTTCAGAAAGTCTGTGGAGCATGACTGTATAAAGTTAAATTTAAAACATGTTATAAGATTCTACGATTTTGTTTCTGAGTGAAGTATATTTTCCTGACTTGGCTCTGTTTGCTGATGTTGAGCCCATGTGTGAGCCCCAAATTAAGGTAAACTCACTGTACCATTGACAATATGGCCGCATCTATTTTTAGGGTGAGTGTGTGCACAGCCAGCATGCTAAGTTAGTCACGCATAATGTAAACCTCCTTTCCAGCTGCTGAATTAAAGTTACATGTATAACACCATGAGATGGAGTCCATCACTTTTCTGACCAAGGCCAAGCCACTAGGGCCGATAAGTGCCTGTGCATTTGATGCGATGTGGCCGTCTATAGCGCATTACATGGGAGGCTACATCTCTGTGTTAGTCTCTCAGCTTGTGCCATAATCAAAAGGGGCTTTTTAATGCTGTAAGGACTGTTTTTCAGACACACTCTTCTCTGCACAACTAATAAGCTCAGACAGCTCCATCTGTAATGAGCATATTCTCATTAGAGTATTGTCTCAAGGTACCACTCTGCAAATTTACTTTTCTGGTGCAGTCAAAAATTTGAAGTGAAATCAAAATGTGAAGTAACAGAATGATTTTTAGTACATTTCTAGTCTTGCCACCAGAAAGCCCCGTGCAGCAACAGGAAGAATCACAGAAGAGCTGAGGTTGGAAGGAATCTCTGGAGATCACCTGGTCCAATCACCAGTCAAGACAGGGTCATCTAGAACAGGCTGCTCAGGACCACATGAAGGCAGCTTCTGAATATCTCAAGGAATGCCACAATCTCTCTGGGCCACCTGTACCAGCACTCAGTCACCCTCACAGTAAAAATAGTGTTCCTTGGTGTTCAAAGGAAGCCTCCTGCATTTCAGTCTGCTCCCTCCCAGTTTCTTGTGCCCCTCCTCACTGGCAGAGCATGAGAGACTGAAAAGTCCTTGATCGGGGTAAGAGCTACTGAGCGACAACTAAAACATTGGTATGTTATCAGCATTGTTCTCAGACTAAAGCCAAAACACAGCACTGCACCAGCTACTAGGAAGAAAATTAACTCTATCCCAGCTGAAGTCAGAATACCAGTATGCCTAGGTCTCTCTTGTACTGAGGAGCCCAGAACCAGACAGTGTACCAGGTGTGGGCTCACCACTGCTGGGCAGAGGGAAGATCACCTCCCTTGATTTACTGGTGATGCTTTGCTTAATGCAGCCCAGGATACCACCTGCCTTTTTTGGCAGCGCAGGCACATTAATAGTTCAGGATCAATCGGGTGTTCCCCAGGACCTTTCCTGCAAAGCCATTTTCCAGCTGGGGGGCCCCCCAGCCTGTACTGATGCATGGGGTTATTCCTCCCCAACAGGGTGCAGGACTTGCCCTATTGAACTTCAGAGATCCTGTCATCCCATTTCTCCAACCTGTCAAGGTCCTTCTCCCTGGCTGTTCAGCCAGTTTTTCAATCCACCTCACTGTCTGGTCATCCAGCCCATACTTAACCAACTGCTCTATGACAGTCTTTCAGCAGACAGTATTGAAAGCCTCACCGAAGTCTAGTCCACCATTCTACCCTCATCTGCCAGGCAAATCTTTTCATCATAGAAGTTTATTGTCAAGTTGGCCCCATGGTTATAGAACCCAAAATGTTTTTACCAGCACCAGCTCTGTAGCGAATTATTGACCTGTACTATCATTGCCTTCCTATTCCTTATACCCTTTTCCTGGCTTGAGAAGGGTATTAAACACCACCTGGGCCCCCATGCCTTTAACTACAGCTTTTAGAGCTTTGTAGTCACTCTTGATACCATTCAGGTTTCCCTGGAAGCATCATTTGTGTCTACACAAATTAACAGCAGAGGATAGTAGCTAGAGGGTTGGAGGACCTGCAGCAGTCCTCCGCAGCATCCCCAGTCCTGGCCCCTGGCAGGCAGCACACCTTTCTAGATGACAGGTCAGTTGAACAGAGGGATGCCTCTGTCCCATGCAGCAGGGAGTCACCCGTTTACATGGACTCACCATTCTTCCTGGGTGACCTTACATGATTTAGGATCAGGTGTACCAGATCCTTTGCTTGAAGGCATATCTGGCATCTCATCAACTTGGAGGGTGGTGAACATACTCTTCAGTTGTGAGTCCTTAGGTGGGGCAGGAGCCCATCTCTTGGTGCCAGAAGTGACCACCTTCCATCCTTCCCATTCTCCAGGAGTTCACTTACCTTAATATTAGGGGTGCACACTGCCTGTTTCCCTGCTGCAGTTAAGGTCTGGGGTTTAAGCCACTGTGTCTCAGAGATCTCATCTATCTCCTTCTTCATCCTCTCTGATGCTGCACAGCCTGCTCACTTCCTCCTGTAACTCCTCCACTTCTCAGCACAGCTCCTCCACGATGGCACACATCCTGCAGGACAGCAGGCGTTGGAGAGAAGCCCCAGGTCTTCCCTGCAGCCCAGGGCTTGGAGGGCTGCATCTGCCATCCAGACCCACTGTGCATCACAGCCTCTGCCCTAGCAGGGACAGCTGCTCTGACAGCTGCTGGGCAGACTGCCCTGTGGCATGCCACCACCATAGCTGAGGCTGTGACAGCAGCACAGATACAACTGAGGCCCCCTTTCTTATGCTCTGCTGCACAGACTGCCATCTCTGAGAGCTGTGCTCTCTGCCATAGCTCTTACACAGCCCTCTCCTGAGCACCAGCTAATGGATGCTTCACCCTCCTTAAGCAGGACACCTGCAACAAAGGCTCCAGGCACCCTGGGTCAAGGGCAGCTCATCATGCTCATTAGAAGCTGCTAGAGCCTGTGTCCTCCTGGCTCCCTTTTCCTCATCCTCACCTGGCAGGAGCAGGCACCCTCCAGTTTCTCAGAGGGTTCCCAGGTGTGCCAAATGATCCTGGACCTTGCCCACAAAAGGCCCAGAAGCTCCCAAAGCAGAATGCAGAGACTGCTGACCAAATAGTTGTCTCTGTTGCTTGCAGCCAAGAATATTTTACTAAAACCTCCAACGCTTGTTCCTATAGACCTTTGTGTGCTCTCTGTGTATATTAACTCAAGTATGCATTTAATTTGTGTGAATGCCTTCAAATATATTATGTATATGTATGTAAGCGTATTTATGTACATGTCTAATATATATACATATAAATTTCAGGCCCCCTTCGCATTGAGATGTAGGCAGTCTACATCACTGCGTGATATCCCTAATATGTTTAACTGCCCATCATCAAGGCTGTGGATAAACAGTTCTGGAGAGTTTTCTTGAACACCCATTATGTTTGGGACCCAAAAGACAGCTGAGTATGAAAGAGGTGAAATTCTAGGGAGTTTAAATATAGCAGCGCAACTGCACTGCATCAGACCAATGGTCCATCTGAAAGTGTCCTATAGCAGATGCCTGTAGGGGAGCATAGCGGCAGGGCAAGCAGGTATGGGTACTTCCCCAGCTTCCAGAGGCCTGTGCAGAAGAGAAGGTCTCCTTAACTCTCTTTATAACACCCCTGCCCAGCCATATGTTCAGGCTGGGATGAGAGGATTTACTCACAAATTCAGCTTCTTTGACCACATGAATCATTCTGAGTTTACTGACATCCATTAAAGCCAAGTGAGCTAAATGTTTTCTCTTTTAGAGCTCTCCTCAGGGTATTTAATTAAAACCAGACTCCTCACCAAAAGAATTCCATCAGATTAGCTCTCATGAAAGCATTACTGTGAAAGAAAGTAATTGCTTGGGAAAGAGTTATCCCATAACATGTTCTTGTATTATAAAAGCCATTTCTCTTCACATTCCAGGTATTCTAACAGGAAACAAAGGACCATAGCTGTGTGTATGGTTTATGTCTTTTTTCCTCTGTATAGTGTTTTAAAGATGATTTGACAAAAATGTTTGTTTTGCTTCTTCATTAAAGCAGAAATTAAGCTGCAGTTAAGAAAATAAGAAAGTAATTAAGGGTGATGGATTACTGCTCATCTGAGGTCTCCTGAAAATTCCCTGGTGTCAGACTAGTACCACCTCCAGCCTTTCCTCAGAAGACTCTACAGCTGAGACAGAGGAGATCCTGAGAGGGCATGAAGGACGTGAGTATGCTGAGGTCCTCAACTGCTCAAGGTGTGACATTCACCCTGTAGCAAAGCAGCACAAATGCCAAAGGATTCAGGGAAAGAAGGGGTGAGTGGGGCCATGAGTCACTTATTTAATCTCTTTTTTGGCTGGAACAGTTTCTCTCCATCTGCACACACCTGGACTATGGTTAATTAATACTCCTGCAGCATGTTTGAACTGTGCATGCTCTAGATTTTTGATTACAGTTTTTCTTTACCTAATTACCTAACTGGGGAGAAGGACCACATTGCACCAGCAGTTCAGAGACTGTGTTACTTTTATGTGGGGCACGTTTCAAGGCAGATCGTCCTCTGTTCCTGCCAAGTGCTATACACCAGGATTCACCTCCTTATTCTGTAGGTTCTGCTATGACAGATGAGCAGTTCAAGTGAGGGGATGACTTGCTTTTCCTCCAAACTAGTCAAACTGCCATAGAGTTGTTAGTCAGTGTATTTAAAACAGAAATTTGGGCAACTAGGTTTAGACAAGAAGGGAAGAGTGTTTTAAAGGAGGAGCAATGAGCACTGTGCTTACCTCTCCACTGGTCCAACCTGTCTGCCCAAGAATCTAAATGCAAACTCACTCCCTTTCTTTGCGTCAGTGTCAGCCTGGTAAAAGTCATGTTTTGCTAACTTCTTCTTTGATAACTTTATTTTGATGAAATAACCCCCCCACTCCTGTTACTCATTTGCCTGAAAATATTAGAAAGGGTGCATCTGTTATAGATCAAACAGCTCCTATATGAAGACTTGTCTCACCACCTTGATTTCAAAAATAATGTCAGAATTGCTTTCCCATCTCCCCTGACCCACCTCCGTAGCTTTTACTGTCTCTGCCACTTTCTCTGCCTATGGAAGTGAGTCACAGTTTATGGTCCCTGGAATAATGAGCTATTTGGTCACCTCTTTTACTGCCTTATTCTCCAACTAAAACTAATGCAGTTTTTCTTAATAGTGAAGGGAATCAGTAACTCAATTAAACCAGGGAGCATTTTAATCTCCTGGGGAACACTCCATTCAGAGACCATATTTTGCCCAAGAAATAATTAACCTCTATGGAGCATGGAAAGCATAGGTCCTATGTACTGAAGCCTTTCTTAGATGTCAGATACTTACTTTTATACATCCCTTGGCCCTCGGTGCACTTTATTATTCTGAATCCTCTAATGATGCTATGCTGAGACCAGTGGAACATCAGTACTAACACAGCCTTGCCCTAACACAGCCTGTGCAGTGAAGAAACAAAACATGAAGACCTTAGAAGTACGATATGCCAAAAAACATCACACATTGTGTAACAGCACCACCATACCCCTCCAGTTAGGCAGAGACTGACCTTTTCAGAAGAAAGAGGGCAGTATATATTCACTGGGAAAAAAAAGCAATTAAGGTGGGATATTTAAAAGCACAGCACTGGCCTAAATCACTGCTCACAATCAGAGACATGGCTGAACTGCCCTGGTGGTAGGAAGCCAGGTATCCTGGGTGCAGGTTCACAACACTCTTGTAAGGGTCTATGCCCCCAAGTCCTAATGCAAGTCTGATTCGTAAGCTATTTAGAAGTTTTGTTAAAAGCTCACTCTGTGGGAGCACTTTTGACTCTCTTCCTTGCCCCAAAGCACTGACTACTGACACCAAAAGCACTCAATCTGCCTGGATGCTGTGATAAAGACATACAGCTGTTACAGTAAGCACACTCCCCTTGTTTCCCAGAGTGTAGTATGGTAGCTGGTTACCAGACCTCCCTCCTGTGTAGATCAGTAGCTATGGGTTCAGTTAGGTTATAGTAATCTTGGCTTAGTCCATCACTATCACTTGAATAACAGCATAGTTATTATCAAATACTCAGTGTGGTCTTTGTTCTCCTGGAAAGAGGCTATTGCTTTCTTAGCTGGTCCCTTGGCTGATATAATTCTGTAAGAGCCTGTAATAACAGGTTCTTCACTAAGTTTGCCATATAATAACATCAACAACATTGCATCAAATCTATGTCCAGTTTCCCTCATTTACCCCCCCCCCCAAAAAAAAAACAAACAAAACCAGTGCCTTTGGGTAAACTGTGTCTTTCATCATTTGGCATTTGACAGCAGTAATTTTATCCACCACACTGAGAAGGGAACATTTTGTTTACTCTGCATAGAACAAATATCCCAGAGAATTATTCTTAGATTAAGCATTAGGAAAGATGGTAATGAAAGACCTTGTTTCACTGGACAACTAATTACACTTGCTGGAGATGGCAGCTTAAAGAGTAATGTAAACAAACACAGTGATTCCCCTCAGGACACGCCATGTGCAGTTCTGTAATGAACAAAGTCAGCTGAGAGCCCTTTGGCTGACATGTCATTAGTGACATTAAGAAAATGCCAGTGCTTGCTGATATATGCAAAGTCCAGGGACTCATCAGAACTGAGAAAATGTTGCCTGTAAATTTTAAGTCCACCAAAAACGCAGTTTCAGATAGGTTTTGCAAGTACTTTTGTTACTCCCACACTTCAGCCTACAGTAAACAAAAAACCCCTCCTGATTTCTTACTTCAGCCACTGAACTAAGAGTATAACTATTTACTCTGGGACAACAGACTTCACACTACAAGGTTGCTAGAAGATTAAAAAAAAAAGAGCTTTTTAAAACATTTACATTCCTTGTGCCTCTACAGGCAATATCTAGCTGTACTGATCTTCCTTGTTCACTCACCGGTCACATGCATGCTTTTTTAGCACCTTTTCAACCTGCCCTTAGATGAATCCTGACTAGCTCGCGCCAACAGTAGTCTCCAAATAATTTGTACAAGAAGTATGTAATCATCCCTCTTTTGGGCCACCAAGACCTGCATCACCAGGAGAGCTGCCATACTCAGGCTAATGGCTAAAAAGGTAGGTAGGACTTTTATTCCTTAATTTTGAGTGGCTGCAGGACAGTACCTATATCTGGGCCAGGTACAGGATCCACCTAATGCTGCCGGTGGAGAGCAGAGTCACACCTAGTCTCCACTGACTGTACCTGGAGCCCACACAGCTGTCTCAGGTGTAGATATAAGTACCTCGTGCCCTTGTGGATGAAGCAGAGCATCCACCTCCCTTCCAGCTGCTCTGTCAGAAGTGCACAGGTATTCTGTGGGCCCTGTGTTGTATCTGACTGCATGTCACCTTATGTAACATGTAACTCATGTAAGCTTCATGCAACATGAATGTAGGGAGCCTACTGCTGTTTAGATCACTGACCTGCTCCTTTCACAGTGTAAAATCTTTTAATGCTGACACAGCTCATGCTGTCTGCTTCCCTAAAGTTAAATAAATACTATCCCATCTGCTTCTGCTCTGTTGGTCTTACCAGCCATATTTAGGCACAAAGCAATCTGGGAAGATTCTTCACACCTATTGTTGGGGCTTGTTTGTGTGTGCTGTGTAGCAGCAACAGAAATGCTGCAGATATCCAGCCCTCACTAAAAACCATGCGTATTTGCAATCAGAGAAAATTGAACCTCAAACTGGATTCCTAAGTCCCAGTCCCAGTTTAGCAGGTTTAACTAGCTCAGGCACAGCACTGTGCTTCTTCAGTGCTGGACTAATCCATCTCTGCACCTCCCAGTTCTGACAGAGTTCTGGCAGGGGTGTGGGCAAGCCACAGGATGAGTGAGACCTGCAGGCTCCTATGTTTGCAAGGCTTTGCCACACCAGGGTTATCAACTCCGTTAAGGGTGATAAACTGGTCAAAGCTTTCTGTCTATTTTTGAAACACCTATGGCTTCTGAACCAACACTTATTTTAGCTTGATATTCATTGTGTTTCTTTGTGATTTCATGTCATGGCTTACTCCTTTCTGCTCCACATCCAGACCATTCAGTTCCTCCCAGATTTCTTTATTTGCCTCTAAATTGACCCCTGGATATCTGACCACGCTTGCTACCATAGTAGCTCATCACACCAGGGACTTGCTGGAAGACGTCTAAAAGCCCATCTGACTTTACACTTTCTAAAAACCCCAAACCAAATGAAATATGGTGCATGGCTTAGCCCCATACTGAAACAGTTGGATCATGCACCAAACCAAAAACTTCAAAACACTTCACTGAACTGAAACTCATGGCACCAGAATGTTTTGCTCCACCAGGCACTAGAGCTGCCTCCTTTTCTGACACAGGCATCCACTTACCATACTAGCTGATACTGGAAGATTGTATTTTAAGTAAAGATGAGAGAATAGCTGGCTGCTTGGATAGACTCCAAAGGCAAATTGTTTTATTCTTATCTATAAACCAGACCTGAACTGGGGATTGTCAAACAGCTTTAAGGCCAATCCCTTCTTCTAGGAATCTCAAACCAGCACTAAAGTCCAGTGCACCAAGAACTGGGTGCAATGGAGTAGCAACAGAGTAAATGAACTCCATTTACAGGAGCCTTTCCAAAGGGCACCATTTTTCCAAACAACTTCATAGTATCTAAATATTACCAAGGCACACAAAATAGCAACTCATACACAAGTTAAAATCATTTGGAAGACTAGCACCACCAGCCCGTATTTGTCTGAACAGTGTTTGGCTTCATCTTGTCTGTTCCTGAATAATTTTACTTCATGTCACAAAATCCGGGATGGCTGAACATCCCTGCAAAAACTGTGACTATTTCAGTAGCTCCTACAGCTTTTCCTTATTTTCAGAAAAATCCCTTTTCTATTTTCAGCTTCTACAACTTTAAGCAGAGGAACAGTTCTTTTCTTTTTCTATTTTCTTTGAATGTCATTTACCCATGATTTTGTTAGGAATAAAGCATAGTTAAATGATTTCCTTTTGTCTGCGGTTAATATAGGAAAAATTAACAATTAATCGTAAGCAGAATTAATTGAGATGGGAGTTTTCCAGACCTAACCTACCTTTCAATTTCTTTCAATTATGTTTCATTAAAAGTACTCTATGTCATTGGTAACAGTTATGTGAGGTTTATATGACAAGGAGAGAAGCCAGCTTAAAATGTCAATTTTCTACCACATCAAAAGCATAACATTTCTGCAACTACATTACTGAGCATCTATGTTATTATTAATCAGAAGTGAATTTCTTTATGTCATTCCTGAGTAAATAAATGCATTATGCTGTAACAAAACTCTTGGATGCACCTCTTGGTGCACAATTTGCTCGCCTTGTTTCAACTTGGGATCAATACCCCTCTGCGTCTTTCATAGTCAAATAAGAGACTGTTCTGGGGACACAGACAGGAATTACACATCGCTTAATTCTGCTCTAATAATATTTGAATAATTTATGGGAGCAGTCATCTTGACAAAAACTATGCAAATCTGATCCAGTCATGGTGAGAGGAGTTCCTTTCTAGAGATGTCAAAGTCATCAGAAGGTGTAATTAGCAGCATTGATAATTATTGGGGTATTTTTTGTTGCTTACAGTTTTATAAATATCTTCATAAGAGCTCTCCTTAGCCTGTCAACAAAAGTTTAAGGCAATAAAATTGTATGAATGCAAAATGAGTGTTCATTCCATTGTTTTCTCTGGTTTTATCACCTGAACCATATTTCCTCCTAATCTGGTGATTTTCTAGGCTTGTTAATGCTGCGGTGAATTTTCTCTTTGAATTACTTTCTCTTTACATGGCACAAAGACGTCACTGAAAAGCTCAATACAGAGGAGGTTTGCAAGCTATTCTAAGAAGAAAAACCCTGAAGATGATGCAAAATCCGGTGAAGACTGTGAAAAACCTCTCTCCCCATATCCTTGGAATGCTTCCCAGATGAGGTGCTGCGCTTTTGTGCCAGACTTTCTCCCCCAAAAGAAAGCAACAGTGACCTGGGTCCATCTTTTGTTCCTTGCACAAAGCACCAGAGAGGTACACCTCAGCTTCTCACTCAAACAGCCCAGACTATGAGCCCAGCACATTTATTCAGGAGCATACATGAGGGTTTATATGCCAGCTCTGTTCTTGGAGACTCTCACTGTAGGAAAATGAGAAAATAAACTACTTAACTGTGCAAGTAATTTAGCTGGAGCCTGTTATCCATCTGCTAATACAGTGCAGCCTGAAAGCTTTGCCAATGACAGATTAAGGTCAACCAAATGATCATTCCTACGAGATACACTCCTCTTCCTAAATGTATTTTTCTTTCATTACATTATGAAATGAAGATCAAAGAGCCTATAATAATATTACATTAGTATAAATTTCTTGTAGAGAAGCTACAACAGGTTTCTTGCATAACACTGGTTAGACAGTATGTTTAAGACAACATCTCGGGTCTCAAGAGCTTACAGGCCAAAAAGGAAAAACACAGGAAAAACTGCAGAAAGAAAGTGCTGTTGTTTCATTTTAAAGGGACAGAACTAAAGCAGAGGGATATGGGAATGGGGCATATGAGGTTTGTGGTCACTGAAATAACAGTGGCAACTTTAAAGCCTGCACCCATTGACACAGTGAGGCTGAAACTCCACCATGATATCCAGAAGAATGTTTTCCCTGACCCTCAATTTATGCTGACTTGTTTTTGTAGAAACACTTTTTCTGAAAGGTTTTTAAAGATCAGCTTGAGACAGCTTTTAAAATCCCAGCCTGCACAGCAATGCACACACACACAAACCACATGCATCAAAAGACAATGTCTTTGTATGCAAAGTGTTAAGCAAACCGAGTTACAGGGACTGCTACTTCTGCAGCCCAAAACGTAAGACATCAGATGCAGAGAGGTAATTATTAGTATTAAATTTTATGACTGGAAGGTTACACAAAGATAATTCAGGCATGTTTCAGATTCAGACACAGGTCTTAAGTACTAAATAGTCAAGCTTCATTTGCTCAGGCACATTGCTCAAGTGTTTTAAATCTTCGCACAAGCTGTCTTGTCTCTCACTACTGCTCTAACCACGAGAAAATGCTCTTTCCTCAAAGCCAGACACAGAAGTGAGGATGATAACACTGACCTCTTTTCTGTGTAGAGCACTTTAATACCTAGTGATGAGAAATACTGCCTGGAAGCTGGGTACCGTTACATAAACTGAGCATCCTCATGCCAGTAATCCACAGATGTCTCACAGATTCTTGTGTAACGGACTGGCAGGCGTGGTGTGTACGTTGCCTTTCCTCAAAGAAGCTGCTTTGCACAGAGGATAAGAGCCCACTTAGCCTGTCCCACAGTAGCTCAGCTCTGACAGTGCACCACCAGTGCCACTCACAGCACAGGTAGGAAGAACAATAGCTTGTCACTGCCTAATTAGGGACCGCAGTGCAATGCCAGACACATGAGGAGTCACAATTAACAGTGTTTTGAGCTACACTTTTGAAGGGGAAGAGGGGCTGGTAAAAACGAGTTTGGTGGAAGTAAAGGCAGTCTGCCAGAAATTCAGTATTTTAAGGTTGTTCAGAAACTACTTTAGTTCCTCTCTCTCCTTAACTCTCATATGTCCTGGTAAAAAAGGAGAAAAAAAGGAATAATAGGAGAAAATAAGTCTGGCTTTTTAAAAAGAATGATTCACTGTGAAACAAATTTTGTCACACGCTAGAAAAGCTTTTTCAAAAGAGATGAAGCATGAAGAGACGGGGGTCATGAGTGTTACACATTGCTGTAGGTGCTTAAGATCTGGATTTCGTCAGTGCAAATAAGGCAAAAAAATGTATTGAGATACCTAACACACATGCCTAATTACCTCACCATTCCCATAAGGATTTTGCAGGATACGCTCTCCCTACAACATAGGTATGCTTTAGTTGCAGTAGTGAATGGTCAATGTGTTTGGAAAAAAAACAATGAAGGACTTTAGACAGAAGGAATCTAGATCCTCTAGACTCTATAATTTATGGAAAGTCAATTTTCAAAGAGGACACCTGAGGTTTTTTAACATGCCAGAACAGCACACTTGTCCTTTCTTTGCTTCCATTCTTGAAAGTAGCAAACCAAATTAGGGTAAAAGAATCCCACCAAAGTCATAAAAGCCACCCTTCTAAAAAAACTAAGGTATTTTTAAAACCTGATGAAACTGTAAGGAACAGAACAGGGTTCCAAAACTAAGGAATTTTTAAAACCTGATGAAATTGTAAGGAACAGAACAGGGTTCCTTATAATTGAAAAGTGTTAAGCTGTCTGAATTCCATCAGGACCCAAGAGGCTGAATCTCTGTTACAGAAGGCTCATGATCATGAACTGCAGAAACTTTCCTCTTAAATTCCAGCTAATGAAACCTGCTCTCCACTAATGAAAAGCTGGTTGTATGAAATAGTTGGTTATGTCCTTGGGCCACATATGAAAAGCTTGCAGTACAGGAACTGAAATTCAGGGTAGATGTGTAAAAGTAGCCAAGAACTTGGTGAGTTATAGATGCTGGACTGCATATTATTTCTGAAAGATTATTCTGCTTATCTAACAGAATAATGGCGCAGTACAGTGTGGCAGTGCCTGCTGTGCTCCTAAGCCATAAATGTATGTTTCTCACCAGAACCATTACCAGGTGTGCTTCCTAACCACTGATTCCTAACTGCTAAATTTTAAATTCTGTAGGATTTTTCCTAATTAATAAATAACTTGCGAAGTCATTGAAATACTGTCATACTGTAGGAATCATCAAGCATTGTGAAAGTGTGATCTGTATCCCAGATTGCAGCGGAATTAGCTCAGATAGGTGATGAATTTGGGGGTTACTCCAGTTTGTGCATTGTTCTTTAAGAAATGCATCACAGTGGATTCACAGATTTCAAGGACTGCCACACTCAAGCTTTCAAAGATCCTGTACTCGACAACATAAATCACCATATTATCTTCAAAACCATTGGGTATTTAATATAGCAGCCTTCTTATTCATTTTACTCACCTCTCTAGTTTAGAAATGTGATTCCCACATAAGCAGGTGATTTCAGGATCTCTGACTTTCAGCAAAAAATGGAAGTATCATGAGACTCCATTGGAAACCAAGACAGGAACCATGCCTCACTTCCCAACTGGACCAGAGGGGCACCACCAGAGAAATGTGCCCCTGCTCCACATTTCTAATTAGCTCAGATGTTGTAAATTAGAAAGCTCATACCTATTGACTTAATGAATGATTAAAACTCATTTTCTCTCAAACCCCTGCTGACAGGCCAGGCATACCCTGCTGAGCAGCCACTGCTGATAGGCCACACATACCTTGCTGAGTAGCCCATGCCTGGTGTGGTTTTGAGCAGCGGTGCTGGGCTGGGGAGGTCTCCTTACTCACCCCATCCCACCCACTCTCCCTCCACCCCTGGAGGAAGCAAACCCACCCTCTGCACGGAGCCAGGTGATTCATTGACGGGGGTTTGCACCATCTGTGCCGATTTACACAGCACTGGTGCCGGAGCACTTGGCACATGGAGCCTAAGATGACTCACTCCAAAACGTCTAAATGGGGAGATGATGTGTGAATTGAGCTTGGCTCTCACAGCCCTCAGCTCTGCAACTCTGAAGTGGTTTAAAGTGTTATTAATGTATTTGTCTTAGCTGCTAAGGGAGTTACTAGGTGGTGGTAAACACAACTGGGGTGAAGAGCGTGAAGGATGCCACTGGAAGTAACCCTGAACAGCTACAGCTGTCACTCTGGGAGAGGAGGAGGACGTAACCTGCTCATGGGCCAGCCAGGTGGCGTTTTTCTCCACCATGGTGCACAATGTATTTGCCTCCTTGCAGTCCTCCTCACCCAAGTGCAGAGGAATTGGGCTGGCCTTGCTCTTGTTTGTGAGATCACCTGGAAAGCTCACTCACTCTGTTCACTTTATGAGTGCCAGGAGCCTTCTGACCGCACCATTGAAATATTTAGGAATGCCTTGTGCAGTGTAGAACCAGTGACACTGGCTGAAAACATGCATATGATCCAAGATATATCCATGATTTGGGCTCTGCCCATTTTACACCATTGCGTCTTGTTGCAGAAAGTGTCCCAACAGCATCAGCAAAGGGTTGTCTGCACAGAAAGGCAGCGGTACTTCACACAAATACTATTGAATCTCACTAAGATTGCTGTAGCAAGACCTCATTTAAAATACAATATTTGTTAGCTACTTAAGGGCATTTCATTATCTTTCATAACTATAATTTTAAAATTCCATTTTTCTTTTTTTTTTTTATTAAAAGAAACACAGGGAATGCTTTTGGTTCTCACATAAGGAAGGTTTATAGTAGCGCAGATCCAGAGTTAGTTTTAATAAGGGTAAGCAAAAGGCAGATTTGTAGAACTAAGTATTAGATGTCTATTTTTTTCCTCATTATTGGAAAAGGTAAATCTAGTTTAGCTAAGAACAAAAGAGAGGTGCAGCAGAAGGGGTTTAAATCAAAGGCCACATGGCTATTTTTGACTGGCAAAAACTCCTGTGATTTGACTTCAGAGCACGCCATACAGCGCAGCACAATGCAAAATCTAGCAACATGCTGACAACGTTGTTTTAGCTAGAATGGGTTTCCCTCTCAGTTGCCTTATTTGGAGATATTTACATTTACACCAAAAATTATCAACAATCTTTCTTTTTTTAAATATGTTTTATCCTATTATTCCCAAAACAACATTTTCAGCGGAGTTTGCAATCAAACACAGCTCAATATACAAGTCCCTGCTGGTAAATCTCATTGCTGGTGATAAGTAAGCTGCCATTTTTATAAACCAATCAACAACAACAAAAAAAAAAATTCAATCAGCTTGCTAGCAAGTTCTCAATTCTCTCTTACTATTCTGTAAATAAAATCCCTCCTGGAAATTTATAGGAAACGTCAAGGTTTATTTTTCCTGTATGCATTCTGAAATGGCATTATTTTCAGATCAGTTAGTTCACACTGAGCCCTTGGACCAATTATGCTTCATTATGTTGTTTGTAACGCTAGTATGCTAACTGGTGTAATGAAACTTTTACAAGTGATACAACAAATTGTGTTCACAATTAAGGCAGAGCATGTACCTTTCCTGGACTGCCAAAATACTGTCTCCAGGCTTCCAATGAGAGAGTTATCATATGTCTTAGCAGCAGCCCCCAGCTTGTGTTCCCCCTTATCAACTGGCCATGTGTGGGGCAGAACATGATCAGGATGCTCAGTGCCTCCAGGCAGGACATGCCACATCCAGGCAATAAGAAGAAAGGAGATACCTCACTTGACTCTCACATCTCTGCCAGGCAAAGAGAAATATATAGCGCCAAGGGAGAGTCATATCATGTGAACGCAGGGCTAAGATAAAGGAAGCACCTGTCTTCTTCCACCACTGATTATTAACTTAGGCAGCATAGCTCTTTTCTGTGTCATGTCTGCTGAAAATGGAAGAACCTCTGCTTCGGCCACAGGCTTTAATGTGAGGGAGCAGACTAAAAGAGCCAATCAGTCCAAAACATTCAATTTTTACAGTTAAACCCTCCAACATTTAAGAGTCCTACAAAATCCATGTATTCGTACAATGCATTTGGGGTGCCATCTGGTCAGTGCTTCATCAGCAAATTATCTGTAAGTGAAGAGAACACATCAGTCTGCACTGGTGTGCACAGAAAACACTCCTGGTCTGCATCACTGCTCGCCATCATACTCTGGATCCCCTTTCAAACAGGACTGAGTGGAAGTGGAAAAGAATCAAGTGCAAACCTTCTTCTAGAGGACTGTGTTGCCTGGTCCTGCCCTTCCCTACTACTGTCCTCTAGGAAAGTAAGATGCTCTTTCTTCCTTCTTCTGTCTTCATCATGAAAGCGTGCATTTTCATCTTTTCCACAATCAGCCACAGATTAGGTGATACATTTTCCTTCACTTCACATGCAAGTTCTTTCATTAATGACGACTGGAAAAAGGGAAATATAACCCCCATTTTCAAGAAGGGGAAAATGGATGACCCGGGGAATTACAGAGCAGTCAGTCTCACCTCCGTGCCTGGCAAAATCTTGGAGCAGATTCTCCTGGAAGGCATGCTAAGGCACATGAAAAACAACAAGGTGCTTGGTGACAGCCAGCATGGCTTCACTAAGGGGAAATCCTGCCTGACCAATTTGGTGGCCTTCTATGATGGGGCTACAGAACTGATGGACAGGGGTAGAGCAGTTGATGTCATCTACATGGACTTGTGTAAAGTATTCGACACTGTCCCACATGACATCCTTGTCTCTAAGTTGGAGAGACATCAATTTGATGGATGGACCACTCGGTGGATAAAGAACTGGCTGGATGGCCGCACACAAAGAGTTGTGGTCAATGGCTCAGTGTCCAGCTGGAGACCAGTAACGAGTGGTGTCCCTCAGGGATCGATTCTGGGGCCGGTCTTGTTTAACATCTTTGTTGCTGACATGGACAGTGGGATTGAGTGCGCCCTCAGCAAGTTTGCTGATGACACCAAGCTGTGTGGTTCGGTTGATACCCTGGAGGGAAGGAATGCCATCCAGAGGGACCTTGACACACTTGTGAGGTGGGCTGATGCCAACCTCATGAAGTTTAACCATGACAAGTGCAAGGTCCTACACCTGGGTCAGAGCAATCCCAGGCACAGCTACAGGTTGGGCAGAGAAGAGATTCAGAGCAGCCCTGCGGAGAAAGACTTGGGGGTGTTGGTTGATGAGGAAATGAACATAGGCCGGCAGTGTGCGCATGCAGCCCAGAAAGCCAACCGTATCCTGGGCTGCATCAAAAGGAGCGTGACCAGCAGGTCGAAGGAGGTGATCCTGCCCATCTACTCTGCTCTCGTGAGACCTCACCTGGAGTATTGTGTGCAGTTCTGGTGTCCTCAACATAAAAAGGACATGGAACTGTTGGAACAAGTCCAGAGGAGGGCCACGAGGATGATCAGGGAACTGGAGCACCTCCTGTATGAAGACAGGCTGAGGAAGTTGGGGCTGTTCAGCCTGGAGAAGAGAAGGCTGCATGGAGACCTCATAGCAGCCTTCCAGTATCTGAAGGGGGCCTATAGGGATGCTGGGGAGGGACTCTTCATTAGGGACTGGAGTGATAGGACAAGGGGTAACGGGTTCAAACTTAAACAGGGAGTTTAGATTAGATATAAGGAGGAAATTCTTTCCTGTGAGGGTGGTGAGGCACTGGAATGGGTTGCCCAGGGAGGTTGTGAATGCTCCATCCCTGGCAGTGTTCAAGACCAGGTTGGACGAGGCCTTGGGTGATACGGTTTATTGTGAGGTGTCCCTGCCCTTGTCAGGGGGGTTGGAACTAGATGATCTTAAGGTCCTTTCCAACCCTAACTGTTCTATGATTCTATAATGAGATACAGACTATGGTGAAGGGAACTGAAAAAATCTAAATACAACTTCAAGAGCAACCAAGATATTTAAGGAGAATTTCCTCCTAAGATCTTGGTACTACAGAAGTGCAAATAAATAGAGGGGGTAATGTAAATGCAGATGTCTACTGATGAACGTAATACAACTCCAAAACCTAAGGAGATTCAGGATATCTGTGACCTAACATTGCCCCAGTTATAAAGCAAGAAAGTTTAACTTGGTTGCAACACTTCTGGTGTATAAATGAGTGTTCAGATTCCCAGGATTCCCAAGAATGTGGAGTCCTTTTAATTTTTTAGGTTTCAGAAGTTTACAATTCATGTCACTAATTTAGCTGTTGAAATCCAGCCATAGATTTTAAATTGGAAGATGTTGACCTTGACCTCTTTATTTCAGTTTCACCAACTGGAAAGCAGAGATAACAATATTTACCTCAGTGTCTTCTGATTATGAATAGCTGCTACTGAAGCAGTTTGACCATGGAAACATCATCCCTCGATGCTGCCCTCTTATAGAGCAAATTAGTAACTTTCTTTTTGCTGCGTATGCAAGAAGCAGTCAAAAGGAAATTGCACTAGACTCGTAGGATGTTTCCAAAGAAAATACCACCAAACAGAAGCATCTATTTCCTTTACTGAATCAGTAAAAGGCTTTATTTGGAGTTGTAAGGAAAATACAGGCAAGAAGAACAGTGCAGGCAGGAGATAATGCATTCCCCATTTGGTATTACTTCTTAAATAACTCTCTACAGGGAGGGCAGAAAGACCCTCCATACATGCCCTTTATGGCATAGTATGCTTTGAACAATGATAGCTCTTCATTTTAATACACTACATTCATACAGAGGAGTATGGACAGTGGCAGA